GCCACTCCTCCAGGGGTAGGTGGGGGACAGGTGCACCAGGCACACAGGCCTCCCCACCGAGAGGGGCAGCCAGGTGTGTCATGGCCAGGTGTGCACAGATGACCTGCCCACAGCTCCTGTACCATGACCCAGCCCTGTGGCGGATGTGCACCAGACCCATGGCTCCGCACTGACCGGTCCCCCACGTTCTCTCACCACCACCAACTGCTCTGTAGCCCTGAAGTCCACTGAGCCCTGCAACCACACCCATCCTGGGCAGCAGGCCTTAGGGTGCAAGGCCAGGTGGGGTGGACATCTGGGGATGCAAAAGTCACTGAATACCCCCCACCCAGCTGGCCTGGAATGCAGATACCCTCTCAGGGTCCAGCTAAGTGCAGGGCTGGGCCAGAGGACCTGGAGGCATCCGTGGAGGCCAACTCAGGGCAGGGAGAAGATCAGTCTGCCCCTTCCCCTTCTCCTCTCCTCCTTCTGCCTTGTCTTCCTGGCAGGACCTGGCACAGAGGTCCAGCCTGTCCCTGGCTGCAGCCCTGGCTGGAGTCAGAGGGGCAGGAAGGAGGCCGGGGAGGAGGGGCCCCCCAGCAGGATGCCTGAGTGTGAAGGTGGTCGTTACTGTAATCAGGGACCCCATGGGCATTCAGGGATTTCAGCCCCAGGACCCGGCCCCTGCCCCATCCTTCACCCTCCACAAGGCCCCGCATCCTCCCCAGCCCAGTCCCTGTCTGCAGCCAGTCCTCCCTCCAGTCCCAGGAAATCCAGCTGTTCCGGGGGCTGCAAAATCATTACAAGCTGGAGCAGAGCCAGCCCTATGGGGCTTGATTCTGGGTCCTGCAGCCCCACAGTGAGGAGAGGTGAGGCCAGGCAGGAGCGGGGAGAGGGCAGGGTGGACTCTCCCTGGGGGCCATGGCTCCCTGGTCAGCGCAGACCCTGTTGTGTGCTGGCCCCTAGGGCACCCAGATTTCAGCTCCCGGGCAGGCTCTGGGAGGGAGACCAGAGTGTGGTTCCTATTAGCTCAGACGTGTCACTCTGTCCTGTATCTACAGCCTGTCTCCCGAGCTGGACTCCCCCTCCTAGTCGGCCAGCAACACCTTCAGGGCCAAGAACAGGCCATCATGAAGCTCAGGGGCCAGTGTGTGGCTGGGCAGGCAGGGGAGGGCTTGCTTTCAGCTCAGGGAGTCTCTGGCTGGGCTAGCAGGGGCTTAGGAGGGCTGGCCTTCCAGCTTCTCTGCTGACCAGCCCTGGGACTGGAGCCATGTACCTCCCCTCTCTGGGCCTCACTCTCCTCCTCTGTGCAATGGGGTAATGGTGAATGATTGCTCCCATGGCAGGAACATGTGGGGTGCTGGGCACAGAACCTGGATTGCAGAGTGCAGTGGGGGATGGTGAGCCGTGTCGGCAGTGAGCACCCCTCCCCCCAAAAGCAATCCAGCCCTTCCATGCAGCCCCCAGGCCCCTGGCTGGGAGCCCAGAAGCAGTGGCCGACCACACTCCAGACACCAGGCCCCTGTGTGTGGCTCTTCCTCAGGAATGGGGATGTGGTGGGGACCCCGTGACACGGGGCCAGCTCTTGTCTCTGACGGAAGGAGAACAAAGACTTTCCCTGGGGTCCCCTAAGGCCACGTTAGAAGGGAGGAGGCTGCCCCTAAATGGTACATTGAAATTCTGCTTCTGTTAGAACCTGAGCATTGGGGTTTGGTTCTTTCACTTGCTGGGCTGACGAGACACACACGCTCTCCATGACTCCTCCTCAAATGAAGAGCTCTTGCAGGTCCTGGGCGTCCTGGACCTGGGGAGGGGAGAGGGGCCAGTCCCCTCCCTGGCTCCTGAAGGAGACCTGTCCTCCCAAAGACAGGATGGTTTCGGGTCGTGATCCTGGGCCAGGGCTGGAGACAGCCCCTCACTGCTCCTGACTCTGGGGCTCAGTGGGCCTTTCTTAGGCACAGCAACGCCCACTGAAAGTGGGGGCTTCAGAAAGAACACACTCCTGGACCCGGTCCTGCTCCAGGACGGTGGCTGCCTTCCCCAGCTCCGGAGGAAGAGGGACATCCTCTGCTTCTTTGGGCGGTGGTCCTCTGACCCACGAGCAAGCACTGAAAAGTTTCTAGTCTGCCTCTGGAAGTGCACCAGCCAGTCACTGTCCACACACGAAGACGGACAACTTGCTAAGGAAGCGCGGGAGGTGATCCTGTGCAAATGCGGGTCGGTGGGGCTGGCTGCTTCAGGGCACCCTTTCTCTGGATAGGAATCCTCCTGGAGTCTCGTCTCTGCTCTCGGAGCTCCCTTCCTGCTGGTTTCAGGACCAAGGGAGAGACTGTGGTGTGGCTTGGAAGGCTCCACCCCAGCCTCCTTCCTTCCGCACACATCACTGCTCCCCAGGAAGCAGGGGCTGTTGCTCCCACATGCCCTGCGCAAGGCTGGTTTAAGGCACTCATTCCCTCCAAGGCCCAGCCGCTCTGGCTCCATCACATACATCGTGGCCACAGCTGTCTGGCTGGGTGAGGAGTCCAGGAGAGCTCTCCTTTCCCAGGATCAGGGTTCATATGCCTGGCCAGAGAAAGAAGTCCCATCTGTCCTCTGCTAGAGAAGGTGAATTCCTGGGCCGGGTGGCCCTCAGGTGCCTGAGGACATGGGGGTCCCCCGCAGGTCCCCTGGAGAGAAGGGTGATGGGCACCCCTGTCTGGGAGAACAGTGAGCAGCACCCATCCCAGGCCACAGGTGCACCCATCACCTGGCAGTGCTTGGCCTCAGGCTCACCCCCGGAAACTCTGGCCCGGTTTTTCACAGATGTGTTTTCAGGAGTGTTCAGCACAGCAGTGGTGGAGAGAGCAGGGAATAGAACAACAGTAATGCCCAAGGAGATGGATGGCGGCTCAGTCCGTTAAGCCGCTGACTCTTGATTTTGGCTCAGGATGTGATCTCATGGTGTGGGATGGAGCCCCATGTAGGGTCTGTGTTCAGGGCAGCGTGGGCTCACGATTCTCTTTTCCACCTCCTGCCTCTCCTACCACTCCCGTGCCACACTCTCTCTCTCTAAAATAAATTAATAAAATCTTTATAAAAGTGGAATCCTACAGAATGTACTTTTAAAAAGTTGTAAAAAATCTGTCATATGATCTCACTGATGTGAGTAATTCTTAATCTCAGGAAACCAACTGAGGGTTGCTGGAGTGGTGGGGGGTGGGAGGGATGGGGCGGCTGTGTGATAGACATTGGGGAGGGTATGTGCTATGGCGAGCACTGTGAATTGTGTAAGACTGTTGAATCACAGACCTGTACCTCTGAAGCAAATAATACATTATATGTTAAGAAAAAAGAAGATAGTAGGCAGGGAAAAATGATGTAATGTATGGTGATTAACATAATAAAAAAAGGGAAAAAAGTTGTAAAAAATCATAACATTGATTTTGCCATTTTAACATTTTCAGTATAAAGTCCGGTAGTGTTAAGTATATTTATACTGCTGTGATGCATATCTTGAGAACATTTCATTTGCAAATCTGAAATTCTGTACCCATTATTTGTTTTTCATGTAGAAAGCATATTTATTTATTTACTTATTTAATTATGCTCAATTAGCCAACATATAGTACATCTTTATTTTTTGATGTATTGTTAAATGACTCATTATTTGCATATAACACCCAGTGCTCGTCACAATATGTGACCTTCTTAATACCTATCACCCAGATACCCCATTCCCCCACCCCCTCCCTTCTGTAACCCTCAGTTAGGTTCCCGGAGTCCAGAGTCTCTCATGGTTTGTCTCCCTCTCTGATTTCTTCCCATTCAGTTTTCCTTCTCTTCCGCTATGGTCCTCCATGCTATTCCTTATGTTCCACATATGAGTGAAACCATATGGTAACTGTCTTTCCCTGCTTGATTTATTTCACTTAGCCTAATCCCCTCCAGTTCCATCCACGTCAGTGCAAATTGTAGGTATTTATCCTTTCTGATGGCTGAGTAATCCCTTGTATATATGGACCACATCTTTATCCATTCATCTGTTGAAGGGCATCTGAGCTCCTTCCCCAGTTTGGCTATTGCAGACATTGTTGCTATGAACATTGGGGTTCAGGTGCCCCTTCTTTTCACTACGTCTGTGTCTTTGGGGTAAATACCCGGTAGTGCAATTGTCAGGTAGTAGGGTAGTTCTATTTTTAACATCTTGAGGAACCTCCATACTGTTTTCCAGAGTGGCTGTACCAGCTTGCATTCCCACCAACAGTGTAAAGAGGGTTCCCCTTTCTCCACATCCTCAGAACATCTGTCATTTCCTGACTTGTTCATTTTAGCCATTCTGACCGGTGTGAGGTGGTATCTCATTGTGGTTTTGATTTGAATTTCCCTGATGGCTAGTGATGTTAAACGTTAGTCATTTTTATGTCTTTTTTGGAGAAATGTCTGTTAATGTCTTCTGCCCATTTCTTGATTGGGTTATTATTATTAGTATTATTATTTTTTGGGTGTTGAGTTTGAGAAGTTCTTTCTAGATCTTGGGTACCAGCCCTTCATCTGTAATGTCATTTGCAAATATCTTCTTCCATTCCATGGGTTGCCTCTTGGTTTTGTTGACTGTTTCGTTTGCTGTGCAGAAGCTTTTTATCTTGATGAAGTCCCAAAAGTTCATTTTTGCCTTTGTTTCCCTTGCCTTTACAGACATGTCTTGAAAGAAGTTGCTGTGGCCGATGTCAAAGAGGTGACTGCCTCTGTTCTCCTCTAGGATTTTGATGGACTCCTGTCTCACATTGAGGTCTTTTATCCATTTTGAGTTTATCTTTGTCCATGATGTTAGAGAATGGTCGAGTTTCAATCTTCTGCATGTGGCTGTCCAATTTTCCCAACACCATTTATTGGAGAGACTGTCTTTTTTCCATTGGACATTCATTCCTGATCTGTCAAAGATTGGTGGACCATAGAGTTGAGGGTCCATTTCTGGGGTCTTTATTCTGTTCCATTGATCTATGTGTTTTTGTGCCAATACCATCCCGTCACAGATGCCCCCAGGTTTGGTTTTCTTTTGCAACATTTCCCTGGTTATGTATCCTTGGCTGCATGTTCTCATTTAGTACTGTGAATATGTCTTTCCAGCTCTTTTTCGCCTGCAAAGTCCCTATGGACAGGTCTGACGTTATTCTGATGTTCCTCCCTCCGTACATAAGAAATCTGTTCCCCCTGGCTGCTTTCTGGATTGCTTCCTTGGTTCTAAGATTTGCAAGTTTTCCATTTTTAATTCTAATAGTGTATTTATAGAATACTTTGGATTTTCTATGTACACCATCATATTATCTGTAAATAGTCACAATGATCTCCTCGCTTCTTATTCTTTTTGTTTCTCTTGGCTTATAACACTTGGGAGATTCTCCAATGGAATGTTGACCAGAGTAGCATTGCTTGAAGATTTTAATATACCTTTCTCAATATCTGATAGAAAAAGCAGACAAAACATTGGTAAGACATGTGACCTAATTGACATATATGGAACATTACAGAGTAAGTGCAGAATACATTATTTTCAAGTGGTGCTAGAATATTTATCCAAATAGACGATATGTTGGGCCATGAATCAAGTCTACACATTTTAAAAGCCTGAAATTAACTAGGTTATATTCTTAGACTACAGGGAATCGAGCCATAGTCATAATGAAAAGAAAAGCAGGAAGTCCCTCAATGCTTAAAACTTAAATGTAAATTTGCTACATATCCTAAGGGTCAGAGAGGGAATCACAATGGAAAGTCTCGATCTTTCCTACATCAGAGCTCACAGACAATGGCATTCTATCCGTGAAGAGCACTATAAATAAGGTAGACAGGAGTTGAGCCTTAAGTCCGAGTTCTGCCTGCCTCAGCCACACCTGGCAGCCTTGGCATGTGGTCGCCCCCAGCTGCCCTTTCTGGTAGCCCTGAGCTAAGGGGGACAACATAGCCATATGGAAATGGGAAGCTCCCCACTCCTAGTGACGATGGTGCTATTGTATTGTCCTCACCAGTCCAACAAGATGATTTCTGAGTGAAACATGACACAATAGCAGCTTCTTGACCTTCCTTAAGGTTTGAAAATCATCTTGTGAGTCATCTATCAGAAATATGGTTTCAACATGTGTCCTTTTTTCTGGAAAAGAAATAGATCCAAATAGTAATTATGGTTTCTGAGCACCTGCCCTTGAGCTCCATCACACTGCTCTTTGTGGAATTCTCCCTCTTAGACTTCTAAACTATGATGTAGGTATTTTTAGTCACATTTTCTAGATGGTTAGACGGGGGCTCAGAGACGATATGAGTCACGGAGGATTTTAGTGTCAGAGACCTAAGTGGGATCTCCAAACTGACTCCAAATCCCTTGTTATTCCATACACGGAACTCTTTCCCTGTTATCTCTGGTCTTCTCCATCTGGAAACATATCAAGTACCAGGATTTTCTTGTTGTGTGGCCAACTGGAATGAATTCAGCCGGCCTTTTAAACTATGCCCATCATGATCAGTGGAGGACCTTTGAGTAAGATACTCCAAGATCTCTAGGAATAGAGACATTATAATCTGCTTGAGATCTTCAAGTTACTGAAAGAACTATCTTTTTTTTAATTGATTCAGGCTCTAGTATGTTCAGAGTGTGCTGTAAGACAGGTCTGAAATAGTATTTAAAAACACTCAGCTCAGCCTCTTCTACAAAGTGAGACAGTGCTTATAAACATTGCTAAAATAGTCCCTTAGCTATGATTACTTACTTCCCAACCATCGTAGTGTTTATATGGTATGACTATGACTTAACATTAGTCAAAATCTGCAAGGAAAGAACTGAGACAGTGTATGCAAGCTTTAGGGGCACTTCATGTTTCCATTAGTGTTGTGAAAATGAGCTACTCTGTTTTATTCTATAGTCCAAGGGAATGGTGCCAGACATCTCTGAGATGTCTAGGAGTTCTAAAATTCTGACTTTAAATTATCTGTGTGCTTCAGAGATTTGGGCAGGAGAAGGGGAGGAGCCCAGCATCTGTGAACACCTCTGTTACCTGTGTTGACCGTGGGACAGGTGAACTTCTCTAGGCATCATTTTGATTTTTTGGCACTATTGTTAAAGGTACTTTTGTCTCAAGTTCCTCCCTTTAGTAGCAATTCTAATGATAATGGAAATTTTTATCTTTTACCATCCGTGGGCCTGGATCCTGGGCTCCCAGAGAAGCTATCCTGTAACATTTTACCAAGGTCAAAATGACTGGGCCAAGCCTCAGAGTATGGGTCCTATTTCTGTCCCAAGCACATATTGTACATCTGGTTTGAGAAGAAAAAGATAACCCCAAAATGCCATTGCAAACATAAAGATAAGAAAAACAAAAGAACCTCTCTGGCTTCCATAAGATTAGAGTCATACCAACTTGTACAAACTGAAAACATAAGAGAAAGTCTGTCACTTTCTTGAATGTTCTTCCTCATGATGATATGTAACTCTGTATGTAAATCAACACAGAACAAATATATAAACCTGCCTCAAATGTTCCTTCCCCGGAGCACTCCCTTTTTTGTGAAGATTGTGTCTCCCAGGCAGCTGTCCTGACTTGGGTTTGAATAAAACTCTCTTCCTTTTTCTCTAAAGTGTTTAAAAGGGTTTGTTCATTCAGTGTCGAGAATAACAATATGTTTTCTTTTTAAGTGAAAAATAAATGTTCCTCGTTCACAACTCCAACAGCAGAGAAGGGCGGCTGTTCTTCATCCTGGAGCTTCCCTGCAGAACCAAGCATATGTATATATATTCCAGCATAAACGGGCTCATCCTACAAGGATGCTTTGAAGGTCCAAGAAGCACTATCCAGTCCATGGGTGAGACCAGAAGGCGAAGCTCTTCACGTTTAGAGCATTAGTTTTTGGGTTTAAAACTGCCTTGGAAATGCGTGAAACCATTGCATTTCCTAAAGCCCAAAGCCTCAGAAGGTCCGAGCGCAGCTGATCTTGCCGGGAGCCAGGAACAGCTCTGCAGGCAGGGGTTGGTGCAGGAAGGGAAGGGGCAGGGCTCTGGGGGTGGTCTGCAGCCAGAGGCGGCCGCGGAATGGGCCGGGTGTGTGTGTGGGGGCGGACCCCGCCCATAGCCCCCGCCCACGCCTGCGCCGCCAAGCCAGGTGTTGGCGTGAGGACGGGCCTCCTGGACCACCTGCCGTCGTAGGGAGCCACGGGCCTGAGGGCGGGTTGGCCGGTAGAGGCAGGCGCGGCATCCAATGGGCTCGGGGCACCACCCTCCCCGACCAATCACCGCGTGGGGGTGGAGTTACCTCTCTGAGGGAGGACCCGGAGCGGCCCCGGATGCAGAGGTGGGACAGAAGGCCAGCTCCCGGAGAGTTCACCTGTAGAGTTCCCGGCTGGGTGAGACCATGCTGTGGGCCGGGGTGGGGTCCCGGGGGTAGGGTGCACCTCGGGTGGGAGTTGGGTCCTCGAAGGAGGCGGGGAGCGAGCTAATCCCGCGAACTCAGATGAGTTTCCTATTCGTTGAAAGTCCTTCAACGGGCCGTATCCCCCAGCCCCGTGAACTCCAGGGCTCCGCTCACCCGAGCTTTTTTGGGATGGGTTGCGGACATTTCAGGGTTTCCCGTGTTCCCCTGGAAGAGTGCACGTAAGGACCGCACACAGTCCCCAAGTTCAGTGGGGTGCCCCCTGTCCCCTGGCAGAGTGCAGGTAATGGACCTTGAGTAGCACCCCGAGTTCAGCAGGGTGTCCCCTGTTCCCCCAGGCACAGGTGTGGCGGTAACAAGCCCCAGAGCCGTCCTCCAACTTAGCATTGTGCCCCATGTTCCCCGGGTATGGTGGTAATGGGCTGTCAGGATTGTGCGGGAGGGTCCTCCAGGTGGGGGCCTGGAGGCTGGAGTAAACTAGACCCTACTCAAGTTGCATGAGGAACAGATGAGTTGAGGTGTTGATTTGGAAGAGTCATTTCGCGTTTCCAAAAATGTCAAAGTCATTGGTCTACTTTAGAATGAAGATAATTAGTACTTAAAAAACAAGTATGTGTTTCCCCTTCTCCCAGAAACCGAAGCAGGTGTGCTTGCCATAGGTCGGAGGTCCTACTTATCCCCACCTGACAGCACTTCTCCCCTCTGGCTCCATGAGACCCGAAGTTTTGAACATCAGCATGTGAGTCAGTGATGCTGCTTGTCACAGGACGTCAGCATTCAGAGAGAGCAGCAGGTCCATTTGGCACAATGTCATCTTCAAGTCAGGACTGGAGGTAAAACTTCTGATTAACCCCAAACCTCCTGGGCTTTCCTCTTTTTTCTAGTTGAGCTACGAAGTAAAACTTAAGTAGCTCTCAGCATTCTCCATTTGGTTCAAGAGTTACTTTCCCTGCGGGTCGAACATTGCAGGGGATCCGATTTTCTCTGTTCATTTATTGCTTACAAAATATATTCTGATCATCTGTTTCCTAGAAGTAACTTTTATTAGAAAGGGAAGGTGAAATTTACTCTTTGTGTGTTTTTAAGATATCTTTTGTTCCTCAACCTAATAGCGTTTATTCAATTGGGCCTAGGATATGGTTGAGCGGCCAGCATCTAGAGTTAGGTGGCTTTTTGTCGTCAGATACAGATTCGGATGATGTCTTGTCATTTGTCAAAGGTGATGTTTCATAATTGATTAGTGTTTTCATCAGAAGAGTTACAGTTAGGGTCAAGGGAAAAGTCAAAATTATTCAAAGCAGGCTTTTACTGTTTAAAAGTTGAGCCTGAGTTTCTAGTTTTTCTAAATGTATCCTCTAGATATTTTGACATGCTGTATTTTCTCTGTAGTTTCTTTGGTGGTGGAGTCAGAAGGAGAGTGTTTGGGAATTCTGGATGGAGGCATGCTGGTGTCAGGAGCACTGGGCTGAGTTCTGGAACTGCTTGCCTGAGCCTAGGTGCGTCAGGTTATCCCACAGAGCTTCCGTTGACTCCTTATGAAATTGCTGGAAGGTAATGTCTATGGAAAGTCTTTTTTTTAAAACATTTTATTTATTTATTTGACAGAGAGAGAGATAGCGAGTGGGAACACAAGCGGGGGGGGGGGGGTGGGAGAGGGAGAAGCAGGCTCCCTGCTGAACAGGGAGCCTGATGCGGGGCTCGATCCCAGGACCCCAAGATCATCACCTGAGCCGAAGGCAGACGCCTAACGACTGAGCCACCCAGGCGCCCCTCTATGGAAAGTCTTTTTCCACAGAAACTGTTCTGCCTAATGAAGAGCCATTAAAATTGAGGTGATTTGGGCTGAATTATTCTGTAAATAATAGTTTTAATCCCCCCGTCATAGGATATGGTATTTTATTATACAAGGAGTCCTCAGAAGGTTGCAGTGAAAGAATCCGATCTCAGAGCATGTTCATATTCCATTGATATGTTACTTACAGTTTGCACAGGTAGGAAGGTAAATGGAGAGAAATACGACAGAAGGGGAAAGTAGGTGTGACCCATTCATTAAGTAGCCTTCTACCTTTGGGCCAGTGTCATTTTGGAAGAAGAGGGGGAATCCTGGAGCTCTGCAGCAGATGGGGGAGTTCCAGGTCTGGGTAAAGCTGACAGGGGCCTCAGAGGAGAGCTGAGTGCATTATGCAGGAGGGTGTGGGCAGGGCGGGCTCCAGGGCTGGCTGTGGGTCTCCCGTGTGAGAGTTGTGACAGGTGAGGGCCGTGAGCAGGTTCCTGGCTGAGGACAGGTGAGGCCCAGGTGGAGAGCTGGCCGAGCACCTTCTTCTTTGCCACCAGGCTCACCCAACACACACAACCTCATCATCTGTCCCTGTTAGTCCAGTTCAGACGTCTCAGAGTTGCCAGGCCGAGACGTTTGTTTGAGCTTCTTTCTTTGTGTGTGAAGTTTCAAAACTTTGATTATGGAAATGACGGGTCGTCAGAACATCTGTTACTCTTTCATTTCCTGCTCTTTTTTCTTTTTAAAAAATTTTTTAAAATTTTTTATTTAGCAACTTTTTTAAAAATTTTTTTTAATCCTGCTTTTTTTTCAATCACCAAAGAGAATCATTCCTGCTAGTGGAAGGGGCTATCTGTGTGTTTTTATTTCCCATTTTAATTAAACAATGGGAAAACAATCTTCAAAGATATTAAAAGAATCCTTTGTGAGTGTTCATGTTTTCCTGTTCCATGTACCACATTCCGATATTAGAAATTATGTTTTAAAGTAAAACACAGCCGCAGAGCTGTAACAGGGTACGGTGCCCTTTGTGAGAGGGACACATGGAGAAGGAGTGTAGGTTCTTTAGGAGCTTGGGGAGTGTCTCGTCGTGCTCCCAAAGGAAATCGAGCCCCCTGTTAGCCTTCCCAATGGGGTTGCTTACCTGGTGGCCCATCTTGGGCTCTGGAAGCTTGACCCCATGAGTCGCTTGCGACTTGAGCTGGGGAATTTATGAAGAAAACAAGGAATCCTGGAGGGTGCCTGCATCCTTTGTGCTCGGACAACTGCATGTCGCAAAGGAACCCATCACCCGTGAGGCGTGTCGGGATCCCTGAGGGTGTGGGCCTCGCTTCCTGGGCTGAGGTTGTGTCTTCCTCCTTATCTGGACCAGAGCCAGGGTGTGTGGCTATGGAAATCCAGACCCTTATGTGACCATGTCATTATTATTATTATTATTTTAAGAGAGCAATATAGACATTGACTTCGAGATACAAATATCAAAAGGAAAAACACAAGGTCAAATATATATATATATAATGACTCGTGGCATGTCTCATTCGTATGGGTCATGTAGGGCTGCCCGTATGAGAAAGACGAAGGAGTTATATTTTGATAGAAGTGTGCTGTGCACACATAGTGTTTTATTCTCTCATTTGCCTTATTTCTCTGAAGGGAAACTAGAGCGGTGACTGGAGCTTGGTTTCCGACTTTAAGGAATGGGAGACAAGTGAATTGAAAGAGCAGTGTTGATGTTGACATGGTGCTCAGTGCCCAGTGAGCGAATGTTTGAAGCTCGGACTCGGAAGCGTTGGTGTTCAGCGAGGATGTTGTCCAAGTTTCTAGCACATGGAGTCACTTGGCTGGTGTGCCTCATCGGGCCAGTTCCTGCCTTTCTAAGGGCAGCTTGGAAGTGGCTTGAAACCCTAGGGCATTTGTGGAGTGGCCTGGATGGGACAGCTGTGTGGGCCAGTGTAGACACCACCCAGGGAATTCCAGAGGTAACGATGAGCACATATGTGAGGCTGGAGTTTGCTTCTCCGTGAGAAGCATTGAGCTGGAGTGGAAAGAAGTCGCTGGGTCTTATGACTCTCTGTGTGAGCAGGTCTGAGCCTGGCAGGGTAGTCGGATCAGATAGGTGGGAGGTTGTGACGCCGTGGTGGTGGACCATCGCTCACGATGGGCAGGCCAGCTTGCTCCAGGGATAGGGACTGGGCTCTCCTCCCTGGCCAGCCCTCCTGCTGCAGATGTGATAAGAGAGTTGCTTCCTGTTTGGTTCTCGAGCCCTCGGCTCAGCAGGGTGGTTGGTGGGAAGCAGCTCACTCACAGCATTATCGATTCTTGTGCAGTGTGCCCCCTGCTTCCTCAGAGGAGGCACAGCAGATGTCCTGTGCAGCAAAGCTTGGTTTGTGATGACATCACAGGAAAGAGGGACAGGTGCACCACTCTGCTTGACCACAGGAGGATTCCGGACTTCAATCACAGGTGGTTGGTGCAGGGAGGAGAGATGTTTGTTTCCCAGGACCTTGGGCAAAGGGAGATTTGGGTCCTGGGATGGGTCTCTGCTCAGCTTTCTCAGATGAGCACCTCAGGCAAGGAGAGGACGTGTGTGTGCTCACCTGTAATCGAGGAAAGTGTCTGGTTTCAGGTCTCATGGGCAGGTGGAGTCCTCGTATGGCTCATTTTCCTGATGGTGTTCAGGGTGCAGTAGGTGGACCCCCTTGTCCCGGGCATCCTGGCTGTGCAAGAGCTCTGGGGCACCTTTTCCCCGGGGCTTTGGACCAGGAAATCGGAGGTAGTCCGTGGTGAAACCATCCGTGTAGGCCTCCGTTTCTGCCCTGCCGAGATGGACTGGTGACTGTGATAAGTTCTATATGTGGAAATATAGAGCAGGAGACAGGGCTGGCATGCTGAAGGGGAGGTGGGGGTGGTGCTTGCCATTCACGTAGGGGCCAGGTGGGACTTCACTAGGAAGGTGATCCTTGAGTCAAGATCTAAAGAAGGTGAGTGAAATCACATCAAGCGCATTCTAAACGGAAGGGAAAGCATGTGCAAAGGCCCCAGGGCAGGAGCATACCAGGTATGTCCAGGAGCATCAAGAAGGCCCTGTGGCCACAGGAGACAGCTTAGGACATGGCCTCAGGGAGGGGACAGAGGGAGACAGAAAGTCACTGCAGGGCTGTGACCCCATGGGACCCTGTTTCACTGGGCCTTCCTGGCTACAGTGCTGAGAACAGGTGACAGAGGGTTGAGGATGGGCAAGGGAGGTCCATGATGAAGCTTTTCCAGGAATTCAGGCAAGAGATGGGCTCCAGTGTGGGCCAGACAGGTGGTCTCGGAAGAAGTGGTTAGTCCTATTCTGAGTACATTTTGAAGATGGAGCTCACAGGATTTGCCAATGGATTAGATATTGGGAGTGGCAGAAAGGAGGAATTGGGGTAACTCCCAGCTGTGGTTTGTTGTCCTGAGGAAGGGGAAGGAGGAGGTTTCTGGGGGTAGGAGGTAGTCCGTGTTCCCCATGCTGAGGAAGGTGCCTCTCACGGTGGATCTGCTGATGCGTGTGTCCGGGAGAACATTTAACATCTCCTCCCTCAGCAACTTTCAAGTACAAGTATCCCCCACTTTTTAAAAGTTCATGGTAAGACATTTGGGTTTTTTGAAAGATCTACGTCATTACTCGGCTTCAGTAACAGGAAGAAACCTGAAGAGGATTTCCCTCTTATGAAAGAAGTCGAAAAGTGAGCCTCGCGTTCAGCATCTGTTTTGCGGGGAGCCACTGCAGAGGCAGCCTGCACCCCAACCAGCTCCTTCCTGGGAACTGCTCTCTGCGTCCAGCCCTCAGCACTTTGAATCGTGTCTGTGAGCATCTGCTGTGTTTCATCTCCATTTATTTTGGGCATCCCTTAGGAAGTTGTGCCCTGAGGCCTAGGAAAAGCCAAAGAGAAGTCATTTTGGGAGTGTGAGCACGCTCACTATTTTTTCTGTATAAATGAATGGTAATTCCTCCTTTGGTTTACACCATTTCTGCTGTGAAAGGTTTCCTAGGAACACTGTACTTTCAAATAGCGGGGGGACCTGTACCCCATCCTGCAGGGTTAGCTTTAGTCTCCATGCTGCAGAAAACGTTCTATGACTTACGCATTTTATCACTCAAACATGTGCCTTTGACCACCTTCCCACGTGCCCCCCCATCCCCGAACCTGGCAACCACCCATCTGTTCTCAGTATCTATGCGTTCATCATTTTTGTTTCCGTGTGGAATGTCCATGACAGCACCTGATATTTGTCTTTCTGTGTCTGAGTTACTTAGCATAATGCTCCCAAGGTCTCTGTTTCGATGTCTGGTTACTGTGAATAATGCTGCAGTGAACATGCATCTGTGTTTTCGAGGTAGTGTTTTTGTGTTCTCCAAAGAAATCCACTCAGTAGAGCCATTCCTGGGTCATGTGATAGTTGTATTTATTTTTTCAGGAAACTCCCTACTGTTTGTCACAGTGGCTGCACCAGTTTACATTCCCACCAACAGTGCACAGGGTCCCCTTGTCTACACACCCTTGACCACACCTGGTGTCTGTCTCTGGGATGATTGCCGTCCCTACAGTTGTGAGATGATAGCTGATTGCGGTTTTGACATAGGTTTTCTTGACGACGATTAGTGATGTTGAACAACTTTTTCTGTGTCTGTTGGCCATGCGGGTGCCATCTTTGGAAAGTATGTATTCACATATTCTCCCCATTCTTTGTACAGGTCTTTTTTGTTTGTGTCTTTTGATTTGTAGGAGTGTTTTGTGTATTT